GGTGGGAATGTAAAATGGTACAACCACTTTGGAAATCAATTTGGCACTTCCTTAAAAAGCTAGAAATAGAAGTACCATATGATCCAGCAATCCTGCTCCTTGGAATATATCCTAGAGAAATAAGAGCCATCACACGAATAGATACATGCACACCCATGTTCACTGTAGCACTGTTCACAACAGCAAAAAGATAGAAACAACCTAGGTGCCCATCAACAGACGAATGGATAAACAGATTATGGTATTTTCACACAATGGTATACTACGCAACGATGAATTCACGAAACATCTCATAACATGGATGAATCTGGAAGGCATATGCTGAGTGAATTTAGTCAGTTGCAAAAGGACAGATATTGTATAAGAGCACATTCTAATAACTCAAAAAAAGGTTTAAACACAGAAGAAAACATTCTTTGATGGTTACTAGGGTGTGAGGGAGGGAGACGGATATTCACTAACTAGATAGTAGACAAGAATTATCTTTGGTGAAGGGAAGGACAACACACACTACAGCGGAAGTCAGCACAACTAAACTAAACCAAAAGCTAAGAAATTTCCTGAATACAACCAAACACTTCAAGGGACAGAGTAGCAGGGGCAGGGGTCTAGGGACCATGGTTTCAGGGGATATCTAGGTCAAGTGGCATAACAAAGTTTATTAAGAAAATGTTCTGTACCTTACTTTGGTGAGTGGCATCTGGGGTCTTAAAAACTAGAGTGGCCATCTAAGATGCATCAACTGGTCCAACCCACCTGAAGCAAAGGAGAATGAACAACACCAAAGACACAAGGAAAATATCAGCCCAAGAGACAGAAAGCACCACATAAACCAGACACTCCATCAGCCTGAGACCAGAAAAACTAGATGGTGCCCAGCTACTGCCAATGACCGCCCTGACAGGGAACACAACAGAGAATCCTTGACAGAGGAGGAGAAAAGTGGGGTACAGAACTCATATTCTAGTAAAAAGACCAGACTTAACGGTCTGACTGAGACTGAAGGGACCCCGGAAGACATGGTCCCCTGACTCTCTGTTAGCCCAAAACTAAAACCATTCCCGAGGCCAACTCTTCAGACAAATATTAGACTGCAGTATAAGAAATAAAATGATACTCGTGAAGAGTACGCTTCTTAGCTCAAGTAGATACATGAGACTAAATGGGCACCTCCTGTCTGGAGGTGAAATGAGAAGGCAGAAAGGGACAGAAGCTAGCTGAATGGACACAGGAAATCTGGGGTGGAAAGGAGGAGTATGCTGTCACAGTATATGGAGAGCAGCTAGGGTCACATAACAATGTGTCTATAAATTTTTGTATGAGAAACTAACTGGAATTGTAAACTTTCACTCAAAGCACAATAAAAAATTTTAAAAAATGATTTAAAAAAAAAAGAAAGAAGCACTGGAAGAATAGCATGTCCTTTGGACCTGGGTCCCTGCGCTGAGAAGCTCCTTGTCCTGGGGAAGACTGACGACAAGGACCTTCCTCCATAGCCGACAGAGAGAGAAAGCCTTTCCCTGGAGCTGGTGCCCTGAATCTGGACTTCTAGCCTACTAGACTATGACAGAATAAACTTCTGTTTGTTAAAGCCATCCACTTGCGGTATTCTGTTATAGCAGCACTAGATAACTAAAACAGGCAGGAAGAACACAGGAGTATACTAGTACTAGAATCTCTTTTATATAAAGCTCTTATAAAATAAAATGACATAAGAAACAGCTCTGACCTAAACTGTTGCTGTTGTTGGGTGCAATCGAGTCATTTTTGACTCACAGCGACCCTATATGACAGAGCAGAACTGCCCCATAGGGTTTTCTTGGCTGTAATCTTTATGGAAGCAGATCACCAGGTCTTTCTCCTGTGGAATGGCTGAGTGAGTTCAAACTTCCAACGTTTTGGTTAGCAGCCAAGTGCTTAACCATTTGTGCCACCAGGACTCCTTAAATACAGTTCAGAAGTCCTAAAATAACGACAGTGAAAGTTATGGGAATAGATGAGAGATGACCCAAAAAGAATTACAGAATTAGAAAAGGGCCATAAATTGAACCCCAGAGAGTATCAGCTTTTAAAGAGTGAGCAGATGAAGACTGGTCAGAGACAAAGGAGGAATGGCAAGGCAGGGGATTGCCTTTTCATTTACATTAATAATGCTAATTATTAATGACCCTTAATAATGTTTATTGAGCACTTTAGTTCCAAGCACTGTGTTAAGTGCTTCACATGTGTTACATTAATTTCATCCTAACAATTACTGTCATTTAATAGTTAGGACACTGGAGTTTTGAGAGTTCAAGAAGTTTGCTTATGGTCACCCAGTACTGCCATTAACCAGCAGAGCTGAAAGTCAAACCCTGACAATCTGAAACTATACCCCAAGCTCTTGACTACACATAATGCCTCCCAAGGTGAAATGCATACATGCAAACTGAACTACCTTACACTGAAGTAATTACTTAATCTTTCTGTGGAATATTTATAGTGCTACAATGTGAGAAGGAACTTAGTTACCTAGGTGAACTGTTCTTAAGCCTTTTCAGTACAAAGTACTATTCTGACCTGCCCCTTTTCTAAAAAACAAAAACAAAACCAAAAAACCCTCAAAAAAGCAACAGCAAGAAACTTTACTCGATGCCTCAAAAAAATCTCCTTCACAGCAGAGTGCTGCTTTGGATAAAGACATTCCTCAGCTGATGTCTGTTTCTCATTAAGTATCATATGCAATTCAGTAATTCATGCCAGAAATAAAAGTACAGATAACATTTATAGAAATAATAGGAGAATGGTTTATACATTACTTGACACCTATACATCACATTTGGTTGTTCCTTTCCTCATAAAATCATAAAATATTAGGGGTAGACAAGATCTTAGAAATAATCTACTCAAAATCCTTATCTGCTAGATGAGAAAACATGATCCAGAGAGATGAACTAGTTTGTAGCAGTACTAGGCCTAGAATCCAATTTTTCTCTCTCAATCCACTGTCCTTTCAAAAAGGATATAGCAGATTATTACAATTCCCAATTTACAGACTGGGAAATTCATTTTGAAGTAAAGGGATTCCCTAAAAGTGCCAGAGAACAGTACTGTAGAAAGAATACAATTTTCATAAAGATTACTTAGACCTACGATTACATGGAAAATTGTTTTAATTATCAATATGTATGTGGTTTTATACATCATTAAAAATAAAGAAAACAGACTAATGGACCACAGCTACCAAGACCTCCACCAGACTGAGTCCAGTACAGCTAGATGGTACCCAGCTACCACCACTGACTGCTCTGACTGGGATCACAACAGAGGGTTCTGGACAGAGCTAGAGAAGGATGTAGGACAAAAATTCTAACACACAAAAAAGACCAGACTTACTGGCCCGACAGAGACTGGAGAAACCCTGAGAGTATGGCCCCCGGACACCTTTTTAGCTCAGTGGTGAAGTCACTCCCAAGGTTTACCATTCAGCTGGGGACTGGACAGCCCCATAAAACAAAATGGGACTAATGAGGCACAGCAGTCCAGGGACAAGGACTAGAAGGCAGAAGAGGGCAGGAAAGCTGGTGATAGGGAACCCAAGGTTGAGTAAGGACAGTGTTGACAGTGTAGTGGGGTTCTTAACCATTATCATAGGGCAATATGTGTACTGTTTAATGAGAAACTATTTTGTTCTGTAAACCATCTAAAGTGAGAATAGCAGCACAACTGGAAGAACGTAATCGACATAACTGAATTGTACATGTAGAAATTTTTGAAATGGTGTATCTTTGGCTATGTATATTTTCACACACACAAAAAAAGGGTCCCCCAAGGCCAAGAAGGGAGTGTGTTGACATGACATGGGGTTGTTAATCAATGTCATAAAACAATACGTGTACTGACTGTTTAATGAGAAAATAATTGTTTCTGTAAACCTTCACCTAAAGTAGAATAAAAAAATAAAATAAAATAAAGACAAGACTAAAAAGGTGAAAATTAACACTTACCTCATAATACCACTGTGATATTGGCAAACTGTGAGTGATAGCAAGCCAGTTTCGGTGTACTTCAAAATCTGTGGAATGGCTACCCAAAACAATTAGATGAGTAAAATGAGATTTTGCAATATTTATCAATTTCACATTTCCATAATTATGCTTTTAAACAGACTCACACTCCCTAAGCAGTCACAGCTCACTGTCTTTTAGAGACACACATTAACAGGTATTATGTAATCCTGAAACACTTCACTTCACTGGAGGTCAGAAATCCTTCTGGAAAATTGTTGGGTATCTACAAGTAAGTGAAAAGAGTCTCAGAGTTATCCAAAGGGCTGACAAAAACGCCACACTTTTTCTTGGCGAAGGCCCTCAGGCCTTTGCTCAGAGGTGACTTACTCTTACTCATACACAATTCTATCAAGATTTGTTACCTAGAAAAGGCCTCACAAACAACCTGGATCGTCAAGGATGTGTACGGGTTCACCACAAAGAAGAGGAAAAAGGCCCTTGTGCTGCATTTCCCATGTCTCCAAATTCTCCCTGTTTACTGTTTTCTCCCTTTATTATAACCAAATATATCCAAGTATTTCCCATCTTTAGTAGAAAAAAAAATTGTTTGTCCACTGCTGTACCTCCCCTCGGTGTCTAAAACAGTACCTGACACATGGATGGGCTCGATACATTCTTGATGAATTAACCACATTGACTAGTTGGCAACAAGTTCCCTAGCCAAACCAAGGATAATATCCTTTGTGTGCCAATCTGTTATTTAGCTAAAAGGTGACCTCAGGGGATAGTTCTGGATCAAGGTTTAAAGAGTATCTCAGGGTAACAGCCTTAGGGAGTCCTTTAGTGTCAACCAGTCCAGTAAGTCTGGACTTTTTAAGAATTTGAGTTCTGTTCCACATTTTTCTCCTGTTCTATCAGGGTTCATCGATCAGAACGGTCAGTAGGGGTAGCCAGGCACCATCTAGTTCTCATCTCAGGGTAGATGAGGCCGTGGCTCATGCAGACTATTAGCCCTGTGCACTAGTTTCTTCTCTGAGGCTTCGGTTTCCTTCTTTTTCTTTTGATCCTGATAAGTAGAGACCAATAGTTGCATCTCAAATGGCTACTTGCAAGCTTTTAAGACTCCAGATGATGTTCACCTCACTAGGATACAGAACATGAACTTTGTAATGCCAACTGACTGAGTTGTCCCATGAGACTAAGGTCCTAAGCCTTCAAACCAGAGAACCATTCTTGCAAAGTGTTTATGTCTGAGAAGTATCTGTAATTGTGTCCTCTATGAATGTACTCATTTTTAAGAGAGAAATTCTAACCAAAAAGTTTGAGAACTTCTGCTACATAGTGACATGAATGACAAACTATAATTACATGCACTAACATACAAACTTAATGTTGAGTGAAAGAAGCCAAACCCAAAAGAGAACATGCTGTATGATTCAATTTATATAAAACTAAAACAGGCAAAAGTAACCTATGCAGTTAGAAGTCAGGGTAGCTTTATCCTTGGGAGGGGGCAGTGACTGGAAGGAGGTATGAGGGGCTTCTGGCATTCTGCATTATCTAATACTATTCTGCTTATTGATCTAGGTGCTAGTTACAGGGATGTATTCACTTTGCAAAAATTCATTGAACTGCACACTTATGATTTGTCCTTCTGATGTATTATACTTGACTGGGTATAGAACTCTAGGTTGAAAATTAGTTTCCTCAGAATTTTGAAGGATTGCTCACTGGTTTTTAGTATACAATTGATATTGAGAAGTCTTATTCCTTTGTCATTTTCCCTCCTCTCTGGAAGTTTTTTTTCTTTTTATCCTTAATCTGAAATCTCATAGTGATTTATGTCTTTTTATTTATTAGTTTGGGCACTCAAGTGTCCTTCAGCTCTGAGAAAATTTATTGTATTATTTATTTGTTAATCTCCTCATCTATGTTTTGTCTCTTTTTTCTCATATTTTTGGAAGATTTACTCACTTTACCCTTTTAATTTCTGCAACTACATTTTCTATTTTTAAGTACCATTTCTTATTCTGATTGTTCTTTTTTCATAGCACCTGTTCTTAATTTATGGATATCTTTTTTTTAAATCTCTGTGAAGGTAGCATTTAGAAAGTTTGAGGCACCCTTTTGTACTTCACTATGACTAGAAGGTAGTAGGTGGTAAGAGACAGGCAGAAGAGATAGCCTAATGTTAGATTAAAAGATGGTTAATTTACAACAATGTCATGGATCTACAAAAAAAGGTTAAATTTCATTCAGTCTATAGTGTAAAGCAAGGAAGTTTATAATAACATTTTGAAAGATGTTTAGAAAAATGGCTAAAATCCCTTAAGCTTAAATTACCTGAGGTATTCCTTCCAGAATCAGTCAATGCTGATATAAAAATGAGGTGTTATGTGTTCATAATGACATTTACAAAAATCCAAACCAAAGGGAAAGAATTTTGGCCTTGTAGTATCAGCAGTTCTTTCTTTCTGGTTACTGAATTAACTAAGAAGAGTAAAAATAATTTTAACTTGCTAAAACTATATTTGAAAAAATGTAAACTTGAGAAGGGCTAGCAACATAATGTCAAATATCAAGTGACTATTTCCTTTTTTTAAGAAAACTGCACTAAAAAAAAACTACCATCATCTCTTCCCCCATGTGTCTGTCAGTTCATTGTACTATGGTGGCTTGCGTGTTGCTGTGATACTGGAAGCTATGCCACCAGTATTCGGGTACCAGCAGGATCACCCACAGCGGACAGGTTTCAGCTGAGCTTCCAGACTAAGACTAGGAAGAAGGACCCGGCAGTCTACTTCTGAAAAGAATTAGCCAGTGAAAACCTTATGAATAGCAGCAGAACACTGTCTGATGCAGTGCCATAAGATGAGTCCCCCAGGTTGGAAAGCACTCAAAAGACGACTGGGAAAGAGCTGCCTCCTCAAAGTAGAGTCGACCTTAATGATGTGGATGGAGTCAAGCTTTCAGGACCTTCATTTGCTGATGTGCCACAACTCAAAATGGAAGAAACAGTTGCAAACATCCATTAATAATAGGAACGTGGAATGTACAAAGTATAATCTAGGAAAATTGGAAATAGTCAAAAATGAAATGGAATGCATAAACATCAATATCCCAGGCATTAGTGAGCTGAAATGGACTGGTATTGGCCATTCTGAATTAGACAATCGTATGGTCTACTATGCCAAGACAATTATACGGTCTACTATGCCAGGAATGACAAACTGAAGAGGAATGGCATTGCATTCATTGTCGAAAAGAACATTTCAAGATCCATCCTGAAGTATAATGCTGTCAGTGATAGGATAATATCCAATATGCCTATAAGGAAGACCAGTTAATACAACTATTATTCAAATTTACTCACCAATCACTAAGGCCAAAGGTGAAGAACCTGAAGATTTCTACCAACGTCTTCAGTCTGAAATTGATCTAACATGCAATCAGGATGCATTGATAATCACTGGTGATTGGAATGCGAAAGTTGGAAACAAAGAAGAAGGATCAGTAGCTGGAAAATATGGCCTTGGTGATAGAAAAGATGCCAGAGATTACTTGATAGAATTTTGCAAGACCAATGACTTCTTCACTGCAAATACCTTTTTTTACCAACATCAATGGTGACTATACACGTGAACCTTGCTAGATGGAATACACAGGAATCAAATCGACTACATCTGTGGAAAGAGACGATGGAAAAGCTTGATGTCATCAGTCAGAACAAGGCCAGGGGCCGACTGCAGAACAGACCATCAATTGCTCATGTGCAAGTTCAAGCTGAAACTGAACAAAATTAGAACAAGTCCACGAGAGCCAAAGTACTACCTTGAGTATATCCCACCTGAATTTAGAGACCATCTCAAGAATAGATTTGATATGTTGAACACTAATGACTGAAGACCAGATAAGTTGTGGAATGACATCAAGGACATCATACGTGAAGAAAGCAACAGGTCATGAAAAAGACAAGAAACAAAGAAAAGACCAAAATGGATGTCAGAAGAGACTCTGAAACTTCCTCTTAAACATCAAGTAGCTAAAGTGAAAGGAAGAAATGATAAGGAAAAGAACTGAACAGAAGATTTCAAAGGACAGTTTGAGAAGACAAAGTAACATATTATAATGACATGTGCAAAGAGCTGGAGATAGAAAACCAAAAGAAGAAGATGCTCAGCATTTCTCAAGCTGAAAGAACTGAAGAAAAAATTCAAGCCTCGAGTTGCAATATTGAAGGATTCTATGGGGAAATATTAAATGATGCAGGAAACCTCAAAAGAAGATGGAAGGAATACACAGAGTCATTATACCAAAAAGAATTGGTCGACATTCAGCCATTTCAAGAGGTAGCATATGATCAGGAACCGGCGGTACTGAAGGAAGAAGTCCAAGCTGTACTGAAGGCACTGGTGAAAACAAGGCTCCAGGAATTGACGGAATACCAATTGAGATGTTTCAACAAACGGATGCAGCACTGGAAGTGCTCACTTGTCTATGCCAATAAATTTGGAAGACAGCTATCTGGCCAATCAACTGGAAGACATCCATATTTATGCCTATTCCCAAGAAAGGTGATCCAACAGAATGCACAAAATATCAAACAACATCATTAATATCACTCGCAAGTAAAATTTTGCTGAAGGTCATTCAAAAGTGGCTGCAGCAGTATATCGACGGGGAACTGCCAGAAATTCAAGCTAGATTCAGAAGAGGACGTGGAACCAAGAATATCATTGCTGATGTCAGATGGATCCTGGCTGAAAGCAGAGAATACCAGAAAGATGTTTACCTGTGTTTTATTGACTATGCAAAGGTATTTGAATGTGTGGATCATAACAAATTATGGATGACAATGAGAAGAATGGGAATTCCAGAACGCTTAATTGTACTCATGAGGAACCTGTAAATAGATCAAGAGGCAGTTGTTTGGACAGAACAAGAGGGTACTTCGTGGTTTAAAGTCAGGAAAGGTGCGCGTCAGGGTTGTATCCTTTCACCATACCTATTCAATCTGTATGCTGAGCAAATAATCCGAGAAGCTGGACTATATGAAGAATGGGGCATCAGGATTGGAGGAAGACTCATTAACAACCTGCGTTATGCAGATGACACAACCTTGCTTGTTGAAAGTGAAGAGGATTTGAAGCACTTACTGATAAAGATCAAAGACCACAGCCTTCAGTATGGATTACACCTCAACGTAAAGAAAACAGAAATCCTCACAACTGGACCAATAAGCAACATCATGATAAATGGAGAAAACATTAATGTTGTCAAGGATTTCATTTCACTTGGATGCACAACCAACACCCACAGAAGCAGCAGTCAAGAAATCAAAAGATGCATTGCGTTGGGCAAATCTGCTGCAAAAGACCTCTTTAAAGTGTTGAAAAGCAAAGATGTCACCTTGAAGACTAAGGTGCACCTGACCCAAGCCATGGTATTTTCAATTGCATCATATACATGTGAAAGCTGGACAATGAATAAGGAAGACAGAAGAATTCACGCCTTTGAATAGTGGTGTTGGTGAAGGATTTGAATATACCATGGATGCCAAAAGAATGAATAGGTCTGTCTTGGAAAATGTACAGCCGGAATGTTCCTTAGAAGCAAGGATTGCGAGACTATGTCTTACATACTGTGGACATCTTGTCAGGAGGGATCAGTTCCTGAAGATGGACATCATACTTGTAAAGTACAGGGTCAGCGAAAAAGAGGAAGAAGACCTTCAACAAGATGGATTGACACAGTGGCTGAAACAATGGGCTCAAGTATAACAACAATTGTGAGGATGGCACAGGACCGGGCAGTGTTTCATTCTGTTGTATGTAGGGTTGTTATGAGTTGGAACCGACTGGATGGCAGCTAACAACAACATCATCTCTTACCTGCCCTATGATAGCTTCCTAACTGAACTCCCCATTATCTCTGTTGCCCTCCATCTATGTATGCAGCCAAAGTAATCTTCCCAAAACACAAATGTGATGCGTGCACACACACACACAGCACAGCTGGCCACTATCATTCATTCTTCAGGTCTCCAAATGTATGTCAGCTCCTCAGGGATCTTCCATGGCACCCAGTCTAAAGTAAGTCCTCGTTAGCCACTCTTACAGGAGCCTGTTCTTTTCCTTCATAACCCTTTACACAAGTTATAGTTATTTAATTATATATTTGTGTTAATTTGTTTCTTAAATCATTACTAAACTCCACACTTCATACGGTTAGGGAATCATACCCATTTTGTCCTCTCCTCTAGTGCCTAGCCACATGCTTGGTACATAATAAAGCAGTTAGTAAACAGTTCGTTGAATAAATTTACATTTATCCTGTAGCTTCGCTCTCACATCCCAAGGGTGTCCATTTTGAGAAGCAGAACATTATATTCAACCTACTCTATGCTTTCTTAACTCTGGACCAAGAGGAGTATTCAAAATAATAAACCTGAAGATACACTTTTAGGCTAAAGTAACTAAAGCAAAACCTAGTCAAAAAAAATTTTCCCCATTCACTATGAGTTGAAAGGAATTTTACATTTTAGAATTTTCCAATCTGCTTTTAAAATGGACATTTCTTATACAGTTATGCAGAAAGTGAAACTGACCAATCTCTTTTTTTCTCAAGTCCCCATATGTCATATTGCTGAACCTATACACACATTCCATTGTTTATATAATTACACATACACATTAGTACGGACATACATTGTTTACATACAACTCTCATACATAACAAGGGTCACCAAGAGCTTGAATCAAAGGACACCAATAAGCCAAACCCTAAAGTGGAGTGAGAAGGGAAAGAAGGGATAAGGGGAGAAAAGGGAAAGCTCAAAAAGGGAGAAGAGTTAAGAAGGATGAAGGGAGGGTGGAAACTAATATTAATATTCAGCATCCACTGTATACGCTCCAGCAGTAAGTAGTTGCTTACTAACTTGTTTCCATACTTTCAATCTTGGCTCTGCATTCACTTTTCATACAGCAGTCTAACAATGACTCCTTACTGCTCTTCAGCCACAATGGCCTCTTTCTGTTCCTGAAATGCTCTGAGTTCTTTCCTACTACAGGGCCTTTGCACTTGTTCTTTACTGAGCCTGAACTGCTTTTCAGATTGCTGACTCTTTTCAATCCCTGAGAGTTTAACTCAAACATCGCCTCCTAAGAGAGGAGAAAACCCTGCTGCTTAGCCACTATTTCCTTTAGAGTCCTCATCACAGTTTTAATCTTTCGTGTTTGTCTGTCTGCCCCTACCAACTCCACTAGGGCAAGAACCGGAACCGTCTTGCTCATTACTAGATTTCCAGGACTAAGAACAGTGCCTGATAGAGTAGGCAGTTGGTAAATACTGAATGGACGAACGATGGAGGCGAGTGTTCTTCATCCGCATATTAAAGACGGGGACCCTGAGGCTCAGAAACGTTAAAATGACTTGACCCAAGTCAGAAAGCGCCACGCCTGAAACCAGCTACCCAAGGCTACGTTCTTAGGTGAAGAAACAATCAGTGGAATGTAAAGCTTAGCAAAGACGGGGTGGCGACAGCACGGCTTCAAGTCCCCGCTCCTCTTCTTACCCAGGTGCATCCAAGCTTCTCACTCCCACCCTAACCAACCGCGAGGCATCCCCGCCCAGGCCCTGGCCGTGCGGGTCGCTTACTAGGTGGGGATGAGAAGGCATTTGAGGAGAGTCACTCCGAGCGCCAAAGCCGAAAACCACCTGCGACCAGTCAGATTCCCGAGCGCCGCCATTGCCACAGCCCCGCACTTTCAACCAATCAGCTTCACATCCGGGCTCCCGCGCATGCGGGTAAGGCCCTCTGAGGACGAGGCTGTGAGTTGCGCGCATGCGCCCCGTCCCTCAGCCAGCCGAGGAAAGAGTTCGGCCGTTTAAACCTCCCGCCCACCGTCCGGTTTCGGAGGGATTCGATGCGCATTCCCGCGTTCTTTGAAAGGAGCAGTGGTGCTGCAGTGGTTAGAACGCTCGGTCGCTAACCAAGAGATTGACGATTCAAACCGACTAGCCTTCTCAGCGGGAGAAAGAAAGATTGACAGCCTTGGAAACCCTATCGGGCAGTTCTACTCTGTCCTGTAGGGTCGCTATGAGTCCAGTGGGTTTGGTTTTTTGGTTTTAACCTTCTTTTGCCTGTTCTTCCTTCAGTGGCTGGGCGTCTGCCCTGCGTTTGCATTTGCCTGGCGTTAGGGATACCTAGGCGAGAAAGAACAATGTCTTGTCCTAGAGACGTTCAAAAGCTAGAGAAGACAGAATTGGAATCCGAGAGTTACAGTAGATAAAAGTACTTGAGAGAACTGCGAGGTGCCTAACCCTCAGTTCAGGAGAACGACTGAACTAAGGTATTAAAAAAAGGAGACGACAATTCAGGTACAGAATGGCATGAGCAACAACACGGAGTTGAAAAGCATTCCCTGTTTCTGGAATTCTGAGCTAGGCCTTCACGCAGCACTTGCCCGTATGGAACCCATTCTAGAGGCAGGCTAGACTTCTCACACTTAATCACACATTAAGTGTGCACTTAATGTTTCTTGTTAAAATTCAGATTCTCATTTCAGTAGGCCTGCAGTAGAGTGGGAAAATCTGCATTTTTAGCAGACTCCCAGCTTGTGTCAGTGCTGATGGGGGAAGAGGGGGTTTCTGGGAAAGATTTTGCTTTCCTGCTAAAGCAGACCAGACAGTTGTCACGAATTTTTCCCCTTTTCTCATTCTTCTGTGTTGAACTACACTTGTGGTGTGGAACCAGACTCAGCTGTAAGGAAAAAGTACTTGATGCTGGCCCTGACATCCCAAGGTACTAAACAAATCCCACTTACCTCCAGGATTCATGTTATGTGAGGAAGTGCGTGCACACACACACACGCACACACACACACAGATACTACCCTTATGCATTTAAACCACTCTTGGTCAGATTTTCTGCTCCTTCTAGCTAAAAGCATTCCTAACTGCTATTACAAGTCCTGTCTATTTTACCTCCCAGGTATCTCTCACATTCATCCACTCCTCTCCACCCCCTCACTCTCTAGCCACACTGACCTGTTTTCAGCCTCTCCTATCTGTCTTATTCCCTCCTGCCCCTGCACCTTTAAGCACGCTGTTCCAGCTATCTAGAATGCTCTTTTTTCTCCCTTTAGGCTAGTTAATTCTTCATCTTTTTTCTCAGTTCATGTACCATTTCCTAAGGGAAACCTTCCCTGAAAACCCAAAAACCCATCGCTGTCAAGTGGATTCCAACTCATAGTGATCCTACAGGACAGAGTAGAACTGCCCCATAGTGTTTTCAAGGCTGTAATCTTTAAGGGAACAGACTGTCACATCTTTCTCCTGCGGAGCAGTTGGTGGGTTCAAACAGGCCACCTTTAGGTTAGCAGCCGAGTGCTTTAACCACTGCACCACCAGGGCTCCTGAAACCTTCCCTGATGTCCCCTTATCCTAACTGTGCACCTCTGGCTGAGTGCAGTTTTACATTTGTTTGTTAGATTATCTAATTACCCCACTAAGTCTTCACTCCATAAGGGCAGGGACCTTTTCTGTTTTTACTCATTATTGTAGCAGCAGCAGCCATTTTTTACTAGTTAAGCTAAACTATCATTTAGTTTTAAGAAGATTTCAGGGAATATTTTTGGTTTAAGATTTAAAGATTATGTTAGGGTAATAGTTTTGAGGGTTCATCCAGCCTCCATGGCTTCAGAAAGTCTGGATTCCATAAGAATTTAAAATTCTGTTCTAAATTTTCCCCCTTTCGATCAGGATTCTTCTATAGAATTTTTGATCAAAATGTTTAGTAATGGTAGCCAGGCACCATCCAGTTCTGGTCTCATGGCAAAGGAAGCAGTTGTTCATGGAGGCAATTAGCCACACAGGGAATTATTACTTAATGTGTACAGAGTTTCAGTTTAGGGTGATGAAAAAGTTGTGGAAATAAGTAGTGGTGATAGTTGCATGATATTGTGAATATAACTAATATGACTGAATTGTACACTTAAAAATTCCCCTGGTAACCACTAATCTGATGAAACAAAAGAGCTAAACAGAAGATTTCAAAGGGCAGCTCGAGAAGACAAAGTAAAGTATTATAATGAAATGTGCCAAAACCTGGAGTTAGAAAACCAAAAAGGAAGAATATGCTTGGCATTTCTCAAGCTGAAACAACTGAAGAAATAATTCAAGTGGCAAGTTACAGTTCTGAAGGATTCTACGGGCAAAATATTGAATGATGCAGGAAACATCAAAAAAGATGGAAGGACTATACAGAGTCACTATACCAGAAAGAACTGGTCAATGTTCAGCCATTACAGGATGTAACATATTGTCAAGAACCAATGGTACTGAAGTAAGAAGTCCAAGTGGCACTGAAGGTATTGGCAGAAAACAAGGCTCCAGGAATTGATGGAATACCAACTGAGATGTTTCAACAAATGAATGCAGTGCTGGATATGCTCACTTGTCTATGCCAAGAAATTTGGAAGACAGCTACGTGGCCAACTGACTGGAAGAGATCCATATTTGTGCCCATTCCAAAGAAAGGTGATCCAACAGAATGCAGAAATTATCAAACAATATCATTAATATCACATGCAAGTAAAATTTTGCTGAAGATCATTCAGAAACAGTTACAGCAGTACATTGACAGGGAACTCTTAGAAATTTAAGCCAGATTCAGAAGATGTGGAATGAGGGATATCGTTGCTGATGTCAGATGGATCTTGGCTAAAAGCAAAAATACCAGAAAGATGTTTACCTGTGTTTTATTGAGTATGCAAAGGCATTCGACTGTGTGGATCATAACAAATTATGGATAACGTTGCAAAGAATAGGAATTCCAGAACACTTACTTGTGCTCATGCAGAACCTGTACATAGACCAAGAGGCAGTTATTCAAACAGAGCAAGGACATATTGCATGGTTTAAAATCAAGAAAAGTCTGCATCAGGGTTGCATCCTTTCACCATACGTATTCAATCTGTATGCTGAGCAAATAATCCCAGAAGCTGGACTATATGAAGAAGAACGTGGCATCAGGATTGATGGAAGACTCATTAACAACCTGCAATATGCAGATGACACAACCTTGCTGAAAGTGCACAGGACTTGAAGCACTTATTGGTGAAGATCAAAGACTACAGCCTTCAGTATGAATTACACCTCAACATAAAGAAAACAAAAATCCTCGCAACTCGACCAATAAGCAACATCATGATAAATGGAGAAAAGATTGACGTTGTCAAGGATTTCATTTTACTTGGATCCACAATCAACGCTCATGGAAGCAGCAGTCAGGAAATCAAACGATGTATTGCATTGGGCAAATCTGTTGCAAAAGACCTCTTTAAAGTGTTAACAAGCAAAAATGTCACTTAGATGACTAAGGTGCACCTGACCCAAGTCATGGTATTTTCAGTCACCTCATATAAATGCGAAAGCTGGACAATAAATAAGGAAGATCAAAGAGAAATTGATTGCCTTTGAATTATGATGTTGGCGAAGATTGAATATACAATTGTCTTATATAGTGCTGCTGTAACAGAAATACCACAAGTGGATGGCTTTAACAAAGAGAAGTTTATTGTCTCACAGTCTAGGAGGCTAGAAGTCTGAATTCAGGGTCCCAGCTCCAGAGAAAAGCTTTCTCTCTTTTTTGGCTCTAGGGGAAGACCCTTGTCATCAATCTTCCCTGGTCCAGGAGCTTCTCAGTGCAAGGTCCCCCGGTCCAAAGGACATGCTATTCTCCTGGCTCTTGTTTCTTAGTGGTATGTGGTCCCCATGTCTCTCTGCTCACTTCTCTCTTTTATATCTCAAAAGAGATTGACTTAAGACACAGCCTAATCTTGTAGACTGAGTCCTGCCTCATTAACGTAACTGCCGCTAATCCCACCTTATTAACATCATAGAGGTAGGATTTACAATACATAGGAAAATCACATCAGATGACAAAATAGTGGACAATCACACAATACATAGGGTCCCTATGAGTCAGAACTGACTTGATGGCACCTAACAACAACCACTAGTCTACTTTTGTCTCCATGCATTTTTGTATTCTAGATATTTCATATAGTCAACCGAAGGCTTAACTGGAGCAGAAGGATCTGCTCCCAAGATAATTCACTCACATGGCTCTCAGCAGGAGGCCTCAATTCCTTGTTACATGGGCCTTTCCTTGGGCTGTTTGAGGACCAGCTTCCCGGGGCATGGCAACTGGCTGCTGCCACAGTGAGTGATCCAAGAGTAAGCAAGGAGCAAATTGCAATGCCTTTGTGACCTCGTCTCAAAGTTGTATACTTCGGAGTTGTTTTTCCTTTATTCTATTTGTTAGAAGCTACTTACTAAGTCCAGCCCATGCTCAAGGGGACAGCAACTCGGCCCCGCCTCTCAAGGGGAGGAATATCAAAGAATTTGTGGACATATTTGAAAACCACCACTGATGACTAAGGCCTCATTCTTAGGATATCATGGATATGATTACTTTATATCTGGATAAAAAAAAAAAAAAAGGCTCAGCGTGGCAGGGACCCCCTACACATGCCCAGCAGAGTTGGGCCTCCATTTACTGTGCTTAGTTTGTCCTCGCTGTCAACAGTCTCCTTCCCTCATATATTTATCCTAACAGAGCTCTCAAGATGTGCAGACTCTGTGCTGGGCCCTGAGGACTAACATGTGGTAGCATTGTGCTAAGCATTGCTGTTCTTTTGGTTCTCACAACCATCCTTTGAGGTAGGTACCATGATTATTCCCACTTT